TTGTGGTTGTAATGTGACAAAATATGGAAAAGTTCAAGGGGTATGAATACTTTTGCAAACCACTGTATGTACATATACATAAATAACTTATAATAATTTTACACCCTAAGGATCAACTAAAAACAGAAAAAGAGAAAACAAAATATTTTAGTTACTCTACATTTTAACTGAGAATTACACTCAGGTGGGAGACCCCTGGACCACTTAGTGGAGTTTCTCAGGTGGTGCAGGGTATTCTTGAGGAGGACACAGCTTCTTAGACTTGATAAGTTGTTTTTACACTGAAGTCTGACAGTAGGAGTAAATTTAAGAAAATTTCAGCACTTAAGTCTAAAATTCCACTCTTAAGAAGTTTAATAAATCCAGGCCCTGACCTTTGGTCTTGATTTGTTCCAGCTGGATCTCATATGTCAGGTGTTGTGAGAAAACACTGCTGTTGGTTTTCAGGTGTGGGTGCTGGGGGAGTACCTGTCAGCATCGTCTGACTCCCGCTGCTCCGTCAGTCTCATCACTTCCTGTTTCGAGGCTTTGGAGGCAGTGCTGTTTGAGATCACGTCATCTGCCCCGCCCCCTGGGACAGTATGCCCCGCCCCTCGAGTGATCACGTCCCTAATGAGCGCTCTCGCTAAGCTGGCATCGCGATCACAGGACCTCATTCCAAGGTAAGTCACTTTTTATCCAGGTCATTGTTCGTTTGCACTGATTCATGAACCAGTAAATGGATTTTAATAAAACTTTTAAAAAGTAAGCATTGGATTTACATTTACTAGTCATTAACTTTTGAAGTCAAACAATTTCAAGATGGCCACCGCAGCTAATCAACTTTATCCAACAGTGTCTGCAGCTTTTTAAATAAACCTACTAACGTAAAATATAATCTTTCATCTTTTGTCAGGGTCTCTTTGTTCCTTTCCAAATTGAGAACAATAAGTAGAAGCGGYTCGGTCCCCTGGTGCTCTGATGAAGAGGACCTTGTTGCCATAGTAACACGGGGCGAGGAGCTGTGGTCACTGCTGAAGGCCCCCGGCGTGGCTCAGAGCGTCCTGACTCCGCCTCCACACGTCAGCACGCCACGGTGGCACAGGGACACCAATCTGGCCATGCCACTTCTGCTGCGAGCCCTCACAAGGCTGACACACCCACAGTGACATCATCTTCATCATCTTCATCTTCTTCATCATCATCATCATTCTGCACTGGTACCACAAATCTCCATCCCGATGAACTTTATTTGTTTTTGTAGATTTTTGCACCTTAATTTTGTAAATAAACGACACAACTCAAATGAAAGTGTTTGATAGAATCTCTTCTTTATTAAAATGGCTTCACTAAAATATTTCCTTTTACAAAATATACTTTTTGATTTAAAAACAGATCTGTTCACTTCCTGAGTAAGTGCTTCGTTTTCCAAAAGCTAAATGATTGAACTTCTATAGAAAACCCTGTCCTTGCGATCAGTACAGTGCATTTTTAGTTAAAAACATTTACATGTTGCTACAACATGTGGAAAATCTGTCATTTTGTTTCAGAAATTCTACAATAATCATCAGATTTATTGATGGAAAAGTGCTTGAAAATAAGAGTGCATAAAAAAACAACAACTGGCAATCGCAGTCCAGAGGTCACAAAGGTCTGYTTTAAATTTAAAATCTGATCTACTAATCTGATCTTATAATACACTCTGATGGATATTTTGTATTTCAGATCAAGGTACAAACTGTGCAGATTTAAAAACGATAAAAATAAGAATCACAGGCAAGTCACTCTCTGGAAGAACTGGCAGATTATCAAGTTTTTCTTATAGTTGGTCCATATGAATGTGTCTGCCCAACTCAAAATGTGACTCAAAAGGGATGGTTCAGACCTTTTGAAGTGGAGTTCTGAACAGTTAATATCTTACCTGCTGCAGATAGCTTGTTCAATGACCAGTCTGGCGAAACACTCTGCAAAAGTTGTCCATCTAATCAAGTCTTTCACTTTGCATGCAGCCAAAAAGTATTTTTGATCTTGTTTTGAAACTGATATATAAAGAGCTTAGATTATTAKTCTTGTTAGCCTTGACATTTTTCTTATTTCAAGAAGTCTTACCAAGTGTCTTATTCCACTAAAACGAGAAGAACCACACTTGGCTGCTACCATCTTAACGTCTCTCCAGTCTTTTAGTATTTGTATTGGTTCATGCAAAAGTTTGTTTYTAAACCTTTCTGTTTCAGTTTCACAGTATGTTTTGCAGAAATCTGGGTATATTTGCCATTGCACTCGTTCGCTCATCATTTTGATAAGAATGAATCGTTAACCACAGAACCCCTCTTCAAAATGCCTGAACTACCCCTTTCTGTCTGTCCACATACTCATTCCTATTTCTTTTTTTAAATGTCGGAGGAAACTTCAAACTCTCTAAGCTTTAGTCCCAGCTGTGGGGAAGTTTCTGCTGCTAAGATTAGCCACATGAACGTTAGCACCAATATAAAAGGAATGTCCGGGTGGTGAGCTGCAGCACGTCGGCACAGAGGAACAGTTTGTCTTTTAGAGACGGATCATCAATGGTGCGTTAAAGCTGCTTGTTTATCTAAAGACACATCCTGGTGTCTGTTGGTCGCTTTCCTGCTAACATCTGATTAGTGTGACTGTTGCTGGTTGGCAGATTCTCTTATCTTCCCACACAYGCAGACTGCTTGTTTATTTTGTCTCTTGTCTCTGTGCCAAGCTAAGCTAACCTAATACAACTTTTGCACATGGATGTTTTTGAATCTGTAGGAATGAAATGAGTCCATTAGTCCCCAGATGTCAAACTTTTCCTGTTTAACTGGTTTCTTTTCCACACATCACCCTTAATATGAGTCTTTTACTCCAACCTTGTCTCTTTCACTATTGAAGTTGGGGGGTTCTTAAAGGCGCAATTACATTTTTATAGCGTAGGACTAGTTATTAGCAGTTAGTATCTTACRTGCAGTAGACAGCAGTCAGTGGTTTCAGTTTCAAGCTGGTAGCTACTCAGAGAAAGACATAAATGAGCTACTTTCCATTAATTAGAGTTTTTATCATTTTGAGGATTATATATTAAATATATTTGACAAATTATTGCCTAGTTGCTGTTCTCTCGACCAAACAATGTTCATGTTGCAACATGCTTTTGCACGTGCTGTCAATGTAGCAATCCACAATCCATATTTATTTGCCCTGTTTCAATGACAAATAAATGTTTCGGGGTCTGGGGGTGAGAGGGGGTCACTGATTGGTGGGCCTGATGGAGCTCCATCAGAGCTAAACAACAAAAGAAATTTGAAGCTTCTATGTTGAACAGTTTTTGAGTTATAAGCATTTTTGCATATCCTGACACCCCCTATTTGAAAGGAGCCCCCTCCTCAAATATGGGGTCTATCGTAAAACCGTTGGCTGGCGCAGTGTAGGTCAGATTCATCTACAGCCCTGCCAAATTTCTTGTTGATTGGTGCAGCCGTTTTAGTGCTACGGTTGACAAAAAAAAAAKASAYAYAAAAAAAGCAGTGCGAAAACAATATGACTCCCACTTACACTTCGTGTGCGGGGGGTCATAATAAGTAAATTATTTTCTTAATAATTTAGCTAGAAAACTCACAAAAAAGCACSAGAGGAGGAAAATAATTCTGTTCCTTACTGTACTGTATATCCYGTTTCTGCAATATCACAWATATTATCTCGAACTACTTGTATTTAGMTTCTATGAAAAAGTCTGCAAGAGACTGTTTGCAAACTGTGGAATGCAACTTTGTGGGGCTTCACTGTTTAGTGTTTAAACAGTTTAAAAAACTGTGTTTGAATTGTTAAATGGTGACAGTTCACTATTGACTGAGCTCTGTTATGACTTCAATCCTCCATGAGAATTTCTTCTAAACTGAGATTGATTTGACTTTCTGCTGCAGGTAAGATACTGACTACTTACCCCGCACTATCTCACTTTGAACAAATTTTAAAACTATTTCTTGACCAGTGTGTTTAAACAGCAGAATCAGGCMAGCCTGACTCAGGTCTGAAGGTGAAATCAACCCATCGGTGATGTCCTGACAAGTCTCAGTGGTGTCACGTCTGAGCAGCAACATTAGCTGCCAGTCACCTGGCTGTCTGCAGCTGTGGCCCCGATAAATACAGGTACCTGTAGATGGCATAATAATGAAAGCTCGCACCGACCGCAACAAAAAGATGCCAGATGGCGTGGGCGAAGGGCACYAGGCCGTCGCTCTTAAAGAAGACCACGCCCACCACATAGAATACCCCTCCCACTGCCAGCTCACACACACCTGTGCGCTCCACCTGGGTAAAAAGAGGAATACAAATCATGAATCAACGTRTTTTAGTAGTATCCAACAGTTAGACCTTAGTTGTTTGTGTTTACCATCGATAGAACGACCAGTGCAGGCAGGCCCCCCATGACCACGTACCCCAGCAGTTCCACCAGCTTGTACCTGCAGGAAGCAAACAGGAGACTCCTGTTGACAGTTCAAACAGCAGTCCACTGTTTTATGTCAACACGCGAGGGCCGCTGACTGTTTAAACACGCAAGAAACTAGGGGTGTATGAAAATATCGATACACTGAAATATCGCGATATTTCATTTCCCTATACTGTATCGATATTCTAAAGCCCTGTATCAATTTTTTATTAAGGTTTAAAATGTCAACTTTCCAGTCAGCCGTTCATTTTTTTGTTGTAGGTCGTTCAGCCTCTGACCACTAGTTGGCAGCAGTGAGCCAGCCATTTGGTTCCTCTACCTCTTGAGCTCCAGAGAGTAAGAGAGCATTAGCATTAGCATTGTGAGTAAACATTAGCTTCATGCACCGATAGCTGAATCTGAGCGGAAAAGACCAACACTCTCTGCCTTCTAAGCTGAGGTAAGGTTACGAACAGTTACTTATTTATCAGAATGTCTGTATTTTAAGCCAAATTAAGTGTCTCGTGCGCTCTTTTTTCCTACTGTAGTCAGCTTTCACGTTACGCATATATAGCGCATGCGTCTATCACAGGGCTATTCAACTAAATTGCTCCAGGGGCCACGGTTAATGCAGACCAACAGCTGAGGGGCCGAACATCCAGCAATAAAGTTATCATGTAAATAAACCAAGTATTACAAAGATATGTTACCTTTGAAATAGTTTATTTTGCTGCATTTAATCACAGATATAACATACAGAACTCTTTGTAATAAATTTAGTGATAATAAAACATTAAATATAAAAATAACACATCATACCTCCTATTTAACATAATTAAAACCAATTTTATTTTTACTTTCATAGTTTTATCTTCAACTGCTTATAGTTTTAACTGTCTTGAGTGTGCTTAGAGACTGTTTTTATCAGCTTGTAGCCAAGATTCTGACGTTTCTGTAGATACCAAACGTGTCTATGT